GAAGGTTGAAAACAGTGTCTTATATCATCAATCCAATCCATTTGTATATAGAAACCCGAAATATAAATCAGTCAATGTTTACTATTTGTATTACTTAAAATTTGCTATAATGTAAAATTATGCGTTGTATAATTCCTAAATAAAATTTATTAACAATTTATTAGCATTATGGTGTGTTGTAGCATGCAATTTCTACTTCTCAGAATTGCAACGATAACACTCGTTATGGATTTTTTTTCTTTGTCCAAATTTCTTATTTCATATTAAGCAAATTAACAAGTACAGTATCGTTATACTTTGTTTCATGTTATGCAAATAAGCATGATGTTGATAAGTTGCCATACGCGTTTATAGAAACATTCGGTTGCAATTATAAATTCATTCTGTCACTCTATATTATGTAATAAGCAATTTTCAATTACTGTATTTATTTTAACAAATTTATGAAAAATCAATTTGTAAATTCCTTTCTTTATCATCACCGAATTTAAATAATTATTAAACATTTTATTGTTTACAATTTATACTATTTCTTTATGTACGTATTGATTTCTTAATTTGTACGTTGTTTTTACATTTTAAGCCCTTGGGTAGTGCTATTTTTTATATTTCTTCATATTCATAAAATTAAATGTGACATATTGAAATTCTACTTTTATGTCATAAGCATTTGGAAATTGTGTGCAAAGGCAATACGTTTTTGCCATAGGCAAAATTATGTAATGTTCATAAGTCTCTTCTATTACAGATTTATGAAAACAAAAATAGATTTCAAGGAAAATAATGAAAATGTTAAATACATAAAATTGTTACACGAAGGATTTAATGCCTGTTGGTTTGGGTGGTACTGTACATTAGAGCATATTTTTACATCAGTTTGATACCATTTCTTCAATTTTACAATGAGAAATTCTAAAGGTTGACGTCAAATTTATATAAAAATGTACTGTATGTACACTATTTCAACCAATCGAACAAACCTATAATTTTATTAGCTTATCCAATGTTTTAACAGAGAACTGTTTTCGAATTATTAAAGATTTATATTTTAAAAAATGAATTATTATTAAGACTTTTCTTATCAATTTCGTAGCTTTTCACCAGTGATAGATTTAACTACCATCCGAACCTCTAGCCTGAGCTTTAGTAAGACTTTCCCTGACCTTGCACTTTGTTCCACCCTTTATTGAATAGAACAAAGCGACATTAAATTACGTTAGTTTATTAGTTAACATATCGTTATAATAGCACGTCAATTAAAAAATTTTTTTTTGTTTTTTTCTTTTTGCTCTCAAACCTCCTTTAGGGTCCTAGACTTATGACTACTCAGATTAATGGGTAATCCGCCACTGCAGTAGACTCTCATTTTATGACTGATATAAATTTACAATAGTAACTTTCCTGAATGCTGTAATTTTTGTAGACTATCTTATTATGTTATTAAGTTATATATAGTTCAAATGATATTTCCAGAAAAGTCAATTTATGACAGTCTATTGGATTTTTAGGAACCACGTAATAGAGGGGATCTTAGATATATTGACGGTACTCATACTGCAAATTGTGGAATTTTATTTCAAGTTTTCATGATCTAAATTTTACCAGAAAATATTTTGATTTAAATTTCAGAACAACATAACTCTCAACAGAAATGTATAATAAGCATTGTGGTATTATATATTTTGAGATTTCTCTGTATTAAAATATTTTATAAGTTTTTCATAAGTTAGATCATATGAACACGAAATTATCTTTTTAATGTAACAACAAAAAAGGATTCATTCGAATATTGATATTACGTCAGCAGTTTATGAGGGAATATTCGTTCGTATTTGCCAATTGTTGACAATGGGGAAAAGAGGGTGGGTCTTTGATGATGTAAAATTGCACCTGTTGTTTATTTTTCTCCCCAGTCATCACATAATCGAAAATAATTCCTATATATTTGCGAATGGTTTTAACTTCTGGCCTGATGACATAACTAGGGGAGGGGATCAAAAAAGAGCAAATTTTTCTAATGTAATACTTAAATGGCCCAAAGAGTTAAATCTTATTCTCCTTATTGGTAGAGACTATAGTTTACTTTATTTATATTTTGTTACGCGCTTACTTACATCATTTTGCTGGATAATAAACGAAGACTAGTTTAGTAGTAATCTTCCATTTTTTCTTTCATTCTCGTTCAAGGTTCAATGAAGGGCATCACTTCTAGAAATTGCAGGTTATTACCCTCTCTACTTTTTTCTTTTTCCTAATGTTTATAAGGAAAAGTTGTTTCCTATGCATTTGATACCTAACGTATGCATATAACTAATATGATAAATAGAAAAAAAAATTCAAAAATATTCTCCGTATTTATTATAAATTTAAAATAATGTGTAAAATGAAAGAATGACATCATTTCTTAATTCTTTAGAGATAACAATTTGTACATAATTTTAAAATAACTTTTACATATTAATTAAATTTTATTTTAAATATCATTAAACTAATCTACTACTAAATGTATCAAAGTCGTGAGAAATATTTAGGCTATAATGATATTTAAAAGATTCGATCCACAATATCAATATGGCGATCAGTTGGATGACTGAGCGTCTAAAGTATCAGTCTACTTCCCTGGGGGGGTCCCCTCAGAAAATGCAATCCGGACAGGTCGAAAAACTCCAGAATCTTTTGCGATAGTCTATCCAGGATATATATTACTCCATTGTGAGTCAGTCCGAACTCGCAATGGGGCTTGATTAAAAGCCCTCTTAGTATCCATAGAGCGAAAAGAGTCAAAAAAGACAAAATATATATATCAATATGGCGCGAATCAATTTTATATGAATATACTTCTAAAAATGTCTTCTTTAAATGAACAAACATTCACATCCATGTAAAGATAATCAACAAGATAGTAAAGATAAACAACTGTGATTAATTTTACTGGTAATTTTTGCACATAGAAAGACTTTGATTGCTGATATAAATTACGAACTAATATTATATTTGATTCACAGTTATCAGACCATCTTGAAATATTCTAATATACTGCAATTCTGTACAAAAGCTTTTTAGTGTAAGCTACAGGAAACAATTGATTTTATGGTATAAGAAAAAATTATATCAAAAGTGACAAAATGGCCGTTCCGAAAAATATTAAGTCATGTATTTCAAGTTCTCATCATCGACAATTCTTATTTAAATTGAATAGAAAATTCTTATTTCTATTTAACAAATAACATTTTATAGACCTATTCATTTGAATCTAAAAACTTTATCATAGAATTTTTCATTTTTTTTAATCCTAAAGACATTTCCATAACCTTATAAATTTAGTGTAGATTGTGAGAGAAGAAAATTCAAAACGTTCATAAAATTTTAAATTTAGCTATAAAAATTTGATTAAAGTCTAGAACCAATCACAGAAGAGATCGTCCACAAATTCTTATCCAATGAGAGATGACATGTCGCATAGTAACTAACAACTTGTCATTCATTGGATATACTAGTTACTAGATTCTAGAAAACGTTTCTTACATTTGTAATTAGAAAAAACGAAAACAAAAAGTACAAAATATAAACAAAATAACTTTACGTCCCTTTTATGTGCATTTACTTGTATTTAACATTAAATATTTAAGTATAATTGAAAAAAGACTTCATTGTTTATATCAAATTTTAAAAACTGACATTGAACAATATCTATAAAAACTGAAAATTAATTCTTATATTATCTAAACAATTATTATTATAAAAATATAAAAGATTTTAAAGTATTTATTAATTTGCTCTATCGTAAGAAATATTCACTAAAAATTCAAAATATGCAGAAGTGGCTCAAAAGTCAATTAACCGTATTTTCTTGAATCACCAAAAACTGTTTACAACGGTTAACTAACTGAATTTTAAGTCACTCATATTATTTAAAATATTTTTAAAGGTATTTTACAAGTTCTACTTTTATGTTTTCTTAATTTTTATAGGTCAAGAATAAGATTTCATCACTTGTAATTATTATTTAAATGAAGTTCCTTGTTGTAAATACTTCAAGGTTGATTTAACGAATCTCGTTTCTTTTTTGTTCAATTGTGTAATCTCGTAATTAAAATTTATAAAAATTAAATTAAATTATTCGTTATATAATTAAAAATCATTCATTCCGATTTATGATTTGATTTTTGATTTTTATTTTATAAACAAGAGCGATTTTAGGAAAAATTTCGAGAGAAGAACGGTCTCTCCCGGATTTTTTTGTTCTTTCTTTTGCTGTAGTGGGAATTTTATAGAGCAAATGTATTTGATAAAAGTACTACACTTAATAGTACTTACACTGAAATAACTATAGTCTACGAGCGAACAGATGATCCTTCCATTTCTTTTTGAACACGTATACGGTAGCTGTACTATTTGTAAGAGACCACATTTTTTTGGAGTAGTTAGTTTTCTCTTGTTTTTTCGCGTGTTTATTGTTTATTTTCATAAGAAATAAAGGACGTTAGTACAGGAACAAACTTATTTAAGGAACATGGTCTTAGTTAATCAATTGATTGGTTGGTTGATCTAAATCAGTGTTTCTCAACGGGGGCGATATCGCCACCATGTGGGCGTTTTTCCATGTTGAGGGGGCGATTAGTAACAATTTATATTTTGAGGGGCGAAAAACAATTTTCTGGGCGATATAGTAAAACATTATATTAAGATTAATTAGATATTTTATTCGTTATATCGTACAATAATTAAACAAATAACATCATACTAGTCACTAGTCTATTCGATGCAGTACGAATTTGGCGTTAGCCTTGGCCCTGGGCATCAGAATTTTGAAGTGAAGGGGGCGATACTGCGTAACGATTTTATTGAAGGGGGCGACAATTCGTTATAGGTTGAGAAACACTGATCTAAATCCTGCAAGCTCCCTGTGATTATAAACACGTGAATATAATATATGATTCGCTTTCAAAGTATGGAATATTTGTTTGTTTCAACCAAAATTTACAAATGGTAAACACAAATATATGCAAATATTTATTGAAAAACATCAGAAAAAAAAACAGATCCTCAAGATTGTTTACAACAATTTGGCACAGTTAATCTCGGTATTACAGAGCGGAGTATCGATAGTTTAATTATTGAGAATTCTTCCAAAACCTAACAAATGATCTTCCGAAGTTTCACGTTTAATTAAATCCGGTTCGGAATCACTATAAAACGGTTCGAAACTGGCGTAGAGTCTTCCTTCTCTCAGGAACGGTGGCAAAACTTGTTTGGCTGCCAAATGATCGCTTTCACTATAAAGACGAGGAAAATCGGAATTTCTCTTCTCTTCTTCGCTCAGAACAGAAGGAGGTAGAATTTTTTTCTCTGCCAAGTAATCGCTGGCGCTATATAATTTTGGAATTTCGGATAAGCGATCTTCCTGTTGCAAGTGCGGAGGGAGAATCTCCTTCTCTGCCAAATGATCGCTTGCATCGTACTTCGCTGTATCGGTTAGAGAACGAGCGCTTCTGAGGTAGCCCAACAAGCTATTCTCTAATTGAGAATTAGACCTTTTGCCAATCAAGCAATGGAAAGCGGGTAAACAAAAAAGCGTCAATCCCAGCGACCACTAAAAAACAATAACAGAAAAAAAATACCTCATATGTCTAAATTCTAAACGTAAAAATAGATCCTATTAATGCAAACGAAAATAATATTTTTACCTTCATCCCGATCGATCTGTACTTGCCTACACCGAAGTACCCTCCTCAAACACTTTCTCGGGTATATAATAGAAGAGCGACCTCTAGCGTCGGTTATTTAGATTCTGTCTGAGACGCGTTACGGGTAGAAACAGGACGTCAAACGAACTTCATAGTTATTAATAGGAAGATGGAATAAAAGAATAAAAAAAAAGACAATCGAAGACTGATTCATATACAATTATTATATAATATGGAAAAACCATCGCGGTTTGTCCTTGACTTTTAAAGGGTCACGCAGAATACCGGTCTGACTTACTAAAATTCAAAAGTTGATTGTCCTCATATATTATTCATATACATTCTAACAAGCGTGGCATCTCAAGAAAAAGACATTTTCTCTCATTTTTAACAAATAAATATTATACAAGACGAAATTGTTTGAATTTTATTCTCGAAAAAAAAAAATAATGAGTGTAAATTCCAATAACACGAAATTGAAGTTTTCTAATTCATGCAAAATAAAACTTTAGTGCTTCGATTAGAAGTAAAAAGTGTATCTAAATCGAATCTCTAATGCATTTAAATAATTAATTTTAAACTCATTAATACATAAATTATTTCCTAAAGTGAGATATTAAACATCTTTACTACTTAATTGTATTCGTTTACACTAAATTAAATTAATTTCAAAAATTACATGTTATAGAGGATTAAATATTTTATAAAATAACAAATATAATGAATTATTTCATGATTTTAAAGCAACAATTTCAACATTTTTATACATTTTACTAAATTTTCAATACTTTACCTATTGAAGAAGAAGAGAGAAAATAGTTATACATTATTTATATTTATTTCTATTACTTTTTAAATTTTATTATACTAATAACGAAATAAGTCTTTGACACAGAACTTTTCAAAAGGTTGACAAATACTAATAATAAATTTCTCACCCTCTAAGCGCGACTCTCCCGTATCATGACCCGTATTCCTAGTTAATGTCGTGACCTTCCGATACATATAAAGAGGATCGCCGATAAAGTTAAAGTTATTTTTAAACTTTAATTAATAATAATAATTAATTAGAGAAATTGTAAATTATTGTTCAAAAGCTCGGGTAATAAAACACAATAATATTATTATGTGGACTGTTCCCATATACAGTTCATACGAAACGTTACTGGAGAGAAAAGCAATTTTATTGAAATCTGCTTTTTTATACCTTAACAAATTTGTATTCTAGTCACAGATTTAACTCAAAGTCATTGTATAAACAAAATTAAGTTTCGGTTAACCTTGAAAGATAATGATATTTTTATGCATTAGTAAAGAAAGTGGATCGAATGACGTTCGAATTTAAGAATATTTTATATATCGTAGTGTTAACTGCTGTATCTAATATATAATATATGTAAAAAAATGTTGTAACGTTTTTCCTGATTTTATTATTTCAAGTATGGTGGATCTCAAGAGTAAAATATGCAATTTAAATCAACTTATTAGCTTATTGCTTAAGACTCAGCCGTTTTATATAAGTTATGTAACATAAAGCCGGTAAACACTATAATCGATATTATACAAAGCATAATTAACATTGGATTTCGAATACTAGATCAAGGCCGAGTATAAACAAGCATATATTTGCATGTATCTGAAGCCATTAGAAGCATAAGATCCTTGTAATCGTTACCATTTCAGTCTCGCGCGCCGTGTATACTGAAGTACAATACACACTTATGCAGTTTGCATGTGCATGCGTGTGTACATTCAGTATATATGAGCAAAAAATAAGTTATACAGTATTAATATACATGTCTTTATTGAAAAAAGATTATAAAACATATTTTTTAGTTAAAAGTTATCTGAAAAGTGAAGAAAAACAAGTGCCTAAACTCATATTTCTATATTATTTTATTTATATATTATCATGGCTATATTAAAAGCTACAAAAGGTATAGAGTTTTCTATTTTTGCACTAGGCAGAAGCCTAGTTTGCCTGCATCTAAAGACTACTATACGAACGTTTCTACATTTTATTTTCGTAATTAGTATCAAGAGCGCTTTCAGGATTTTGTCTCAAGAGCAAAATATGTAATTCAGATCAAGTTGATCTGAATTACATATTTTGCTCTTTAGCTAATTGCTTAATTAAAATCATTTTCCTTAAACAGGCTTGTTTCTACTTACAGGTCTACTATATTTACGAAAGAAGATGATAAAAGCATGTAAAAAATAAACAAAAATTTCAACTATTTTATGAAACTCGAGGCTTCCAAGTAATATATTTGCCGACTTTTTTTCCTGTTTTTCTTAGTTTTAGGATAATAAATAGATTTAATTGTTCTTTTAGTTTTATTCAATATTGTAAATTCTTACAGAATATAAATAATATAGTTCTATTCTAATATATATTTTTACTCTTTCCACTTCATGGGCACTAAGAGGGCCTTTAATTAATCAAGCACACCGTGGGTTTGGCCAGAGTGGCGAGAGATAGAGACTGACATATCATAGATGGACCATTCTCCGAAAATAACTTTGGAATAAATAACATTTTTCGAAAAAATTTAACAAAATATTTCAATTTAGGCCTGATACATAATCTTACAAAATATTTTCAAATAGATGATACCTTACACATTGATTAATTTCGATTAGTTTTTATATAGCGTCCTCCCATTAGTGCCACCTTTGTAAAACGCTGACGACTACTCAGATGGATCTTCTCATAAATATTAAATAGGAAATTTTTCGGTATCTACCAATTATTAAACTCAATGACAAACTCTTGAACTCGAACAAGAATAATAGATCTCATTATTACGTAGGTCTATTATTCTTGTTTGAGATACTACGTTTTGTGCCACATTCGATTTAGTGCCAATTTCAGAGGTCTACAGTGATTAAATTAATCAGTCCAGTTTAGAATTCGATTCATTAAATGAGGCCTGACACTATTTTAGCGTCGTAAACGTCCGTTTGGAAATTTATTATTATTATACTTCCAACCGATGATATTCCAACAATGGAAATCCCCTTCGCTCCTCCACTAGTTAACAACACGTCATTGTAAATTTCAGTCAGGTATATGTAGACAGGATCCTTACCTAGGAGTATCGCTAAAACATAGATAAGAATCGCCTACATAATGGTGGGAGTGATTCCTCCCACCTGTATGCAGATGTATAATATCGATATATATTTTTACGTGAATGCTAAATGTATACATTTATATAATCTGCAATAAAGTATTTGTATTGAATAAATTATTTACAATAAAATGTAGGGGAAATACGTACAAAATGACATATGGTTTTATTTTAGGTTCATAACTCTTTATTGGTAAATCACAGCACTGTTATATTCTACACCAATCATCTTTGGTTCTTTACCTATAAAATATAATAAGCATTTATAATATAAAAATAATAGAAAAAAAAAATATTGTTAGTTTAATTTAGATCAGACAAAATCCATTTTTTCCATACGCTATGGAAAAAAATGGCACATTACGTAAGGACAAAATGACATAACCTAAAAACTATAAAATTACTGACAAAGTTCACAAATGAAACGCTTGGATCTTTTAGAAACGTCAGCGCAAGGAGCGTGAGCCCAACGCAAACAATTTATGCACCGTAATCAGTCTTCTCCAGGCTTAGATCGGGAAAAAAAAAAATCATTGCAATATATGCATGGACAGTTCTCTTCATCATCTCGAGAGTTATCAGGAAAAGTTTCTTCTTCACTGTCTTCTTCAAGTAACTTTTTAGTAACGTTTCGTCTCCTTTTCTCTGGTGGAGCTTTGGGCTCATTTTTTGATTTAATTGCCTTCATATTAGGAATAGAAGTTAAAACTAAAGAGGTTTGTCGAGTCTTTGGCTTACGTTTTCCTTGACCACTTATAAAACGTTCTTTGGGACTGGAGAAATCTCTTCAATAGATACAGCAAGAGTAGAGGACGATGGATGTTCTTTAGTAGTAGCAGATAAATGATATTGAATTGAATGAGTTAAAAAAAGTTCTTGCTCAGTGTTTGCTGATGGAACCTGAGATGAATTATCGGCTTGTTGTTCGATAGGTGCTGTTATTTCAGCTGTATTAATGTCGTTATTATTGTATTATTGCTGTTATTTTTTATAATTAATAAAACGTTAAGAGGTTAAGGTAAGTTCCTTGACTGAGCTCTTATGGACTAAATGACACACCTATGCCATTATATCCGTTGCCTATGTATGTCGTTTTGTAACGTTACAAAAAAAAACAAAATTATAAAATAAATAAATACAAAGGTGATATTTTTAATGGAAAAAGTTATTTAAGTGCAACAACAAATTCTTGAGGGTTGAAATAAATGCTACACAAATAGATAAAATAGTGAAAAACTTACCATCTATACAAAAAACTTGTTGCAAGGAAAAAACTCGTAACGTATCAACGCTTGTCGTCGGCCATGACACCCGGGCGAATGAGAGGAGTGCGTTCACTTTTTGACAGGTTAGTAAACGCCGCTGTGATAACATGGTGTCATGATCAGTTGCGCGCTTAAGACCGCCAAATTCGAATTATGTTGCCTATGTCATTTTGTACGTATTTCCCCTATAGTAACTTTCTCTTAAAAAGGTATCCCACCTTTGTATTATAACAGGGATGTCCAATCCGCGACCCGCGGGCCGCACTGCGACTCACTTAATATTTTTATGCGGCCCACTGCACCCTAAATTTTTAAGGTATATTTTCATTTATTTTAGTAAACTATGTCGTAAAATTTACACTTGGTACACTTTGATGTCATATTGACGTAAGTGGTGTTAGAAAACTGTTTTATCTAGAGTCTAGAGCCTGTAATGCATGTGTGGGTAATATATACCGTTGTAAACAATTCTTTTCGTGCATAAAAAAACATCAAAACTGCCGAAAGAAATAGGTTGAGTGATTCCCATTCAACTAACATTCTTAGAATTAAGACTAGTATCATAAAAGCAGATATTGACAATATTATAGGCTAAAAGAAAGGCAACGTCAAAAATCGCATTGAATTTATTTTTATTTTGTGTGAGAATAATTTATTTTTTTACTGTCAATAATACAGTATTTTTTATAATTATATATTTGTTATTAAAATTTAATATTCACATTTTAAACTTTCTAAAAGCATATAT